TATGACAGAGTATCAGAAACCCAGGTTTCTGTTCATTAATTCTGATAATCGCTTGAACCCATCATTCTTTTGATGTTCTACTTAAAAACAATCTTTTTCATTTTCATACTAACAAGAAATTTTGAACAGTTAGTTCACTAAATTTTTTCTACATGTCTAGATGTAGGTTTAGGATACAAGGTAATAATAAATAATAAATGAAAAGTATCTTGTATGTATAATCCTCATGAATAATTGTAAGACTTCATTGATGAAACACAGGAAGTCACCTGCTGTTGATCTGCAGTCATCTTATGGGTGTCAAGCATCAAATATTAACAGCACACTACATCTGCACTGCTGCAGAGCCTACAACTGATAATGCAGATGGGAAGAGGAACTGTAAATTATGCTTATCTGGGGCAGAATTTGCCCTTGGTCTCATGATCACTGAGAGCCTGGATGGGGTTAAGTCTAGGTAATTTAGGCAACTAATTTACACTCTAAATTTCCAAAACTGAGTATAACAGTTCTTGTCCATTACAGGCTGGGTGTCCATTTCCAAAGGCATTGTAAGCTTTCAAAGGCACTTCCCTCTTTTCCTTGACCATATAGACCATGTGGGTTCTGAGGTTCCAACTTTTAAAATATTACTTCTTAGCCAGATACAATTCAGGGTACCACTTGGTTGCTTCCATTAGGCAGATTGGATGTGCATCTCTTTATGATGTTCTGCAAAAATTGCAGTGGGATCTACAGTGTCTAAGTCTCTCCTACTGATTTCAGCACTCACTTCAGCATATAGGACTTGCTTAAGGATCTCCCAGTCCAGTTTTTGGAGCTGGTCTTCTCCCTGAGAATATCTAAGTTCACAACACAATATAGCCAAACTACATGTGAAAATCTTGTTTTTAAAGCACAAGAAGCAACTCTAAAAGTGTCATTTTTTTCTTGCTCATTTTGCTTATGTGTGAACAGCTGCTAAGATATATTCTGCACTGTGTCAGACAAGATTATTCAACCATATCCTGCACGATGTGACACCCAGCCTAATCCTGTGGGTGCTCTGTGTATTATGGTCTATAAAGAAATGTCAGAAATTACTGTTGTCCTTTACAACCTTGCTCCCTGACTTACAGAAGATTGCAGAAAGTGGTTTTATGCAATCAGGAGGAACAGAGGAAAGAAAAAAAAAATGTATAGAACCCACAGGATTACATAGCTCTAGTGAATGCCAAAACAAGTAGTTTCAAGTCAAGTAGTTTCAAGTCACATAGTTACAAAAGAGTGAAGTATATGAAGGAGTCATAAAATCGATGGAAGGGAGATGAGATGCCCCTCCTGACCATCTGCCCACCCGCAAGTTGGAACAGCTTGGCACAAAAAGTAGTGGCAGGTGTAGGAAGAGCTGGCAGGCAAACTGGAACTGGAGCTGGAGCTGGGCTATTGAGAACCTAATAATCTCCTGAATCACAGAATTCACAAAATTAATGTGGACAGTGGCACTCTGATATCCTACTTGGTTTGTGACATTCAGTTTGACCTTGATATCCTATTTTGGAACAACGCAATGTCCTTACCTTAGCTGAGAAGCAAGAGCCCTGGAAAGAAAACTGTAATGGTCTCCATTTGAGCTGCTGCAGAAAGAAGCTTGGAGGGAATGAGCTAAGCCCTCATTAGTCCTGTTAACTCTATTTCTCTTTCTTAACATGTTTTTTCCACAATTATAACAATTGATCAAGTTTCAATAGTCAAGTACCACCATATCTGCTCCTCTTATGATCCAATCTGCAATGCACAGATTAATTACCCACGTTTTACACTTAATTGCATAACTAAGAACAAAAACTATCAGTATATCAGTAAGTTTCCATCCAAACAAATAAATTTAAAATTTGTTTTAACCATGAAATATCAGATTGGCAGGGACCTCAAGGATTATCTGGTCCAACCTGTTCAAATCCCCTGAAGACAGTAATATCAACGTCTGCATATAAACTGCTTCCCTGACCTTTATCAGGAGAAAATGTATTTCAGCTTTAACTCTGGAGAGGCAAGGGTAAGGAACTTGTGTAACTGCTAATAAGCTATGCAGCACACAACGTTCTGGGAAGATTGCAGAGTCATGCATTACTCTAATGACTCTTAGGAGGGACTGACAATCCTGCTCCACAGTGTATTGATCACCAGAGCAGCTGCCAAACAAAACAGCAGTGACAAATCAATATGCATTGAACTTGGCTTTATTTCTCACAGTATCTTGTTCCAGGGTTTGTTACTGAACAACTTGAGGCACAAAATGGTCCTGTTTGCATTAACTATGTGTTCTTTCTGGGGTGCTCTCTGTAACTATCGTGTCAAAATGCTTCCCATTTCTGACACATAGTTCTTGCTCCAGTCTCCTGTGATTCCCATTTTTCAGAAGATGACCAGCACCATAACTGAAGAGGGTCTTTTTTTTAGGATCACATGGGAAGTGCGTGTCAAAACAGGGGAGTTTCACCTGTCCATCATAGTGGCCTAAGAGCAAAGCCATCTTTCAGTAGGTTCTCAGGTATAATCCTTTTTTCTGCCAAACTGTTTCAATGCTGAGTGCCATAGGTCTTCTGATTGCAAGTGCAGTAAATGCAAATAGAAATAATTCTTGTGGCACTAAACAAGAAACTGGTGAAGCTGCACGCAGTAACCAGAGGTGATTCTAAACTGGTGTATTGCACCAAGCACGGTGGTAGCAAAGGGGCTGATGTAGGGATTGTAACAAGAAGGTGCATTCCTGCTGCAGACAGGGCTTCAAATTTCGTTTTGTGTGGAAGCTTGTTATGTTGCAGCTTCTCTTTTTTTTCTTTTTTGATTAATCTAGGGCCATTGTTGGTGGTATAACATCTATTTAACAGATTGCTTAGGGCATGGCCCACTGTGATCAAGGGCAGCACATTCAGTCCCTGTCATTAAACAGTGCTGCCTGTAACCCCCAGAGGTGAATGACGTTAGATACTTTTACGATGTGGCAAATACACATAGCAACATTCAGATATGGGTTATGAGAGTTTTTACAGGCACGGATGCAAACATATAAAACTGTTCTGAGCAAGGTTCGAATAATTCATGATACATATTTTAGCTCAGCTTGAGGATCATCGGCAAAACCTGCATACAGAAAATAGCAGGCAAGATTAATAAAAAATCTAATTGTTTAAGAGCCCTTTCAGCTTCTCTTTTCTCATGCCAATAAACATTGGCCATTACCTGTCCATGTACCTTTGTTTAGCTTGCCATGAACCATACCTCAGAAAAGACACCACAAGAAAGCTGTAGAGGAACTTTCTACAAGGGCATGTAGTGATAGGACAAGGAGGAATGGTTTTAAGCTGAGTGAGGGCAAGTTTAGATTAGATATTGGGAGTAAATTCTTTACTGTGAGGGTGGTGAGGCACAGGTAGCCCAGAGAGTTGTGGATGTCACACCCTGGAAGTGTTCAAAGCCAGGCTAGATGGGATTTTGAGCAACTCGGTGAAATGAAAGGGTCCCTGCCTATGTGTAAAGACTTACAGACCAGAGTTGCCTGTCTCAAACACTGTGAAGGCCACAGAAGGACTTTGCAATGAGGTAAGTATAGAAGGGAGCGACAGGATGTCACTAACTCCAGTCCTGGTGGAGGTGAGATCTGGTTAGCACATCCTGGGTAATGCATCCAGACAAAAATTTACACTGTAGTAAGCTTTATAAAGAAGTAACTGCTTGTATGCATATCACTGGTCAGACGAAGATCACTCCCAAGTTATGGGACAGATAGCATCTGTGACCACCAATGATCACCAAAGCCCCCTGAATATACCTGGAACCTGGACTATAAATTAAGCCACCACAACAGGAACCTGAGATAAGATAAAGGCGGTACTATTGTCTTGGGTGGTACTGTTGCCTCAGACCTAGGGGAAGGTTAACAAAGCTGGGGGAGAAGAACGTATCACTGATAATGGACACAAATAATGCAGAATTTATGGCCCACTTGGAAAACCAACTCAGCTGAAATCAGGTCAGATGGGGTAAAAGGTTGTTCTGGCGGGGGGAGATCGTGACCCCTAACTCATGGACCAGCAACCCAAGAAACTGACTGAACTCAAAAACAAAGAAAGACAGAGCAGTGGACTAATTAGCATTAGATTTTAGGGAATAATTTAACCAATAGAATAAGAGAACTGTGTAGCCAATGAGCATTGATTCCTTTGTTAAAGTGTATAAAGAGTGAAAAGGTTTGAATGACCTCAGGGCCTCCTCCACCAAGAAATTCAGTGTGAAGGATGAACAGGACAGGACGCTGCTGCATCCATGGGTTGAGACTATCTGCTGCTTGACCCTTCTCTCTCTTTTTCTTCTTGCTCTTCTATTTCTTTCTCTCTCTCTAACTCACATTTATTGTTAAATAAAATTGTATTATTGCCTTCCACATATGGTCTTGTTTGCACCTTGATTCGGGCAGAGGCATCTCACAGTAGCTGGATCATGGCAGGGAGTTTGAAGCTAGATTATCTTTAACAGCCCAATCCAAAACCATTGTATCATTCTATATGGGAATGATGTTTCTGTTGACACTCAGTGGTCTGTAAGAACCAAGCCAGATCTGGTAATTTATATCCACACCCAGAAAAATTACATTGTAGTCACTTCTCTGTGTCAAAAGTTAGTTTCAAAACACAGTCTTGTTTATAAACTACTCATTTTAAAGGCTAATTCTAGAACGTTAGATGTCTCTGGGTAGTTATAACTATTATTTTATTTGTCTGATAAGAGTCCTGCTGGAATATTTGAGACTTATCCTGTGGAGCACACTAACAGGATACAGTCGCATCAACATCTGATGGGAAGGTTCACTAGCCATGAACTTACAAAACCTCAGCTCTTTTGTGGAAACAGCCCTTTGCACGCTTGATCCCCTGGCGCCAGGGAACAAGCTCCCTGGATCAGACCACAGTGACCATGGAATATGCTCCAGCGGTTACTGGGATGCTCCAGCAGTTACCGGATGCTCTGTGAACCCACATCACAATTAACCCCTCAAGAACATATTCACAGGCCTAAACACAAGGCATTTAATCTGCAACATACAATAGCAGGGACTCTTCAGCATCAGGTAGAGAATGTTCTTGTCAAGTGAGAGATTTTGGATATTAACAGAGGGTAGGAGCAACAGCTTTGCCAGTGAGTGAGTTTTGAGACAAGCTTTAAAGGAAGAAAAGATTCTTAGAGTGCTGAAAGCCTGAAAAGTAAGGATTTTTTTTTCCCCTCCAAATAACAAACAAAGCTGAGACCACAGTCTGCCCATCCTGAGTCCCTGGGATACTGAAGGGAGATGATGAGTAATTAGAAGCAGCTGAAATACTGTTTTAAGCCTCTATTAATTAATCTTGTAACAGTCTCACTGTCTTCAGAACTTTCTTTGACAGGAAATTTTTCTTCCATTCTCTGAAGGCTGGAGACCATTTTTAACTTATTATTATATGTGAAAAACTTGTTTTGAAATGAATTTGTCAGACTTCCCTGAGTGATGCTGTACCTACCAAATAACCCTGCAAATGTGAAGAGCCACCACAGAGCATTAAACAACTCACTCCACCTATAGGAAACAGTTTGCAGTGCATAAACATTGCCCCAGGCAGGATCACATCTGCGTCCCACTGCCAGGTATCCAGCTTGGCAGGACACCAACGTTCAGCTTCTAAAAACAAACCTGTGGCAGCAGCAGGAGGCTGTCATGGGCTCTCTCCCACAGCCAGTTTTAGTCGTCTTCCAAAGCTGGGGCTGTGAAGTTGTTGCGCCTTTGAAGAGGTGCCAACAAGGAGAATTTTCCTATCCTACAGGGAGAGTCTGCACCTCAGGATGTGTTGTGTATGGATCCCATCAGCACTGCTGCACAGCTAGGACACCCAGGAATGGTAGTGCTGAAAACACCAACATTTCAAGACCCTCAACAAAAAGAGGCAGGAACACACATGAAATAGGTGTTAATTGTGTTGTTCTTGCTCTGCACGACACTGACTCATTCCTTCCATTTTGACAGGCTACATCCGGAAAAACAGCTCTTACTGCTGGCTGGTGCTGACGGCAGTCCTGGCAGAGATACAGCAAGAGAGATCACACCTGTTTTTAGCTGTGTAAGAAGGCCAACATCAAGAAACAATCAAGATGGAAGAAGGCCTTTTTGATTACTCTGCAAAGCTGTTTGAGATGTGGGCACCCGATTACTTTGTCACTGGGACAGGCTCTAATCTCCCCGACGTGGAGATAAAAACACAGGCACAGTGTAAGAAACCCGGCCTCGCATCTGTGAGTCCTGCTGGCACTGAGCTTGCTTCGCTCTTGAGTGTGTCAGCTATGTGTGTGTCATCTGGGAAAGCCAGAGGATTTCTCTGAGACTCTGACACAAAACTCACATGGGAATAATTTCCTAAAGCAGAGCCACAACCTCATAATGGATCTCTGCAGGAGGGGAAGACTGCTGGGAAGAAATGTTTGGATCAGGAATGACAACTGAAAGATGCAGCTGATGACAAGAAAAGGGAAGAGAGTCCCAAGAAGAGTGAACCTCATGTACCAAAACACATTGCTGCTGTCCTGCTCTGAGGATAACCTTACTTAAATTGCCAGCCTGAGATAAGACTAGCAATTAAGTGTGGTGTGGTTCTCTTATGGGGTGTAAAGCAGCATGTGGGAGAAGGATGCTATCCCTTCCCATTACACAGTGGTTTTTCTATGACCATGTAGGAAGCTGTGGTGGAGCTGGACCCTGGACATGGTCTGAGGAGCCCCAGCAGCCACAGCCACCCCTGTTTGCTGGTTGCAGATGCTGCGCTTCTCCCATTGACTGAACAAGGCCTGAATGTCACAAATGTCCAAAAGGCAGAAGTGTTAAACTGCTATTATCTCACAGAGTGAAACAAAAAGATGTACAGACATAGAATCATTTAAATCCATGGGATTATTAGCATTTATAAGAAAATTAAAATGACCCAAAAACCTCAATATACTCAGTCCCAGCTCCCACTGGAACGTGCTGCAATGTGTTCACCTTTACCTGCAGGGAAGGGATGGGAGAACAAGTTCCAAATGCCAGATGTTTTATTGCACAATGTATTACTGGAAAATGGAATAAGGATTAATATATAGATCAGGGGTGAATAATAGAAAATAAGTAATAACAAAATTCACTCTCATGCAAGAAGCACAGTAATTATCCATAGGAACCAGAGGAAACTCCATCCCTTATCAGAGTTTCAGCTAGACTTGACAGAGTACACTCATCAGGAACATGCATGGGAAAATGATAAATCATATTATCTGGACCAGTTTACCATCTCTAAAAAAAATAAACACACTATAGAAAATTCTGCTTTAATACATTCAGTTCACAAATGGGCTGTTTTTTTACTTGGTAAGATAAACTTGGCAGAAGCCAACTGCCTTATTTATGCACTTGAAGATTTTGTTATGTCAGATAAGAATTAAGAAAATATCTTTTTTAACTCATTGAAGAAAAAAATATTTAATAGTGACTGCACCTCTTCTTCCAAAGACTAGAAGTCATTGTAAAACAGGCCTATGATTAATCTCTTGGTGTAAATCTACCCACATTTGCCCAGGCCACCAACTCCTCCCAGATGGAACCTGAACTCTGAGTCAGAGTTCCGTGAAACCAACAGCTAACAGGGACTCTCCTGTGTTTCAGTGGCTGCTTTCTCTGAGCCACATGTTCATTAATGCAGTGAAATTTTAAGTAACTATAGCTTGAAGGCAACATCTGTTCTGAGAGACTTCGGGGTAAAGGGACCAGCAGGTAACTGAGTCTGCATTTTAACAGATGCTTTCCTGGGTTCCTATGCCACCTACTTCTAAAGAGCAAGGTCCATGGCATGCTTTAAACCCTAAGATATGATTTACACAGAGGCAAACAGCTTGGTGCAGCATAGGCTACCTTTTGTCAGAACTGCTGAAAGTTATTGGTTATTTTCCTCACTTCTGCTTTTCTCCATGCCTTGCTCCTTCTTACTGTCTCCTCACTCCAACTTCACTATTTGAATACATCATGAAACCACACACGGAGCCTGAGACTATTTCTAGAGAAATGCTTGTGATACCTGTTGATAAAGGGTATGGCAACAACAGGATGGTGCCACATTCCTGGAAGAAGGCATGGGGAGGGAAAAAAAAAAGACAGGTAGAGGTACAGAAAGTGAGTTTCTACATATTGTCTTGATGAATGCAGTAGAAACACCTTAAAGAGGAGTAGGGTTTGGAAGTGCTGATACAGAGAGCCAGTGCAAGTAAGTGGACAAAGACCATTCAATTGAGATATATCTAGCAGCTTTATCCTATAGGTAGGCAAAGAGAAGGAAAAGGGAAGGACAGACTTAGATAATGGTAGTACTAAGGGCTTTATAATCTGGGCCTCCTTGCACAGAAGCTAAAGTTCTTGGTTTCATGCTCTAGAGCAGCCCTGAGCCATTGAACTTTGGGGTTTGGGAGGGAAAATGCATTGCCATTTCAGGCATCCAAACCAGAGTGCAGGAATGCAACAAGAGGGCTGTGTTACTACAGCTTGACGAATCACTGCCCATCAGCTGTACACACCAACATAAAACAACTTCACCTTTCATATCTGCCAGCCAAAATGTGTGAACTAACCCTGAGATGAAGGTGGATCCCTTCCAAGGCATTGTGTGAGGAGTTTCAGCAAATGCATGTTGATTGTTAACCCAAACAGGCTTAAAACAAACCTGAGGTGCATGTTCTGGGACAGATAGCAAAGTCACAGTATTCACATTGCTTTATTCACATAATCATATAAATTTCCATGGTTTTGGCACTGATAGTCTGCAGTCAGTGGTTTCCCCATATATTTCATGGACTTTCCTTATAAGACACACTAAAAACTTGTTATTTTTCCTTTCTTGGACCCTGTATCAAAAAGAAATACGAATATTATCAAACTTCCCTGGGAAAAAGAGAGAGGGCTGAGTTGCATACCAATAGCTACAGGATTTTTAAAATCCAAGCCCAGATGACAAGGCACCCTTCATGTACTATAAAACACTCTATGTAAATAAATCGTAAACCTCTTAGGCAGAGGAGGAGTTAGAGACTGCTAACCTTTCTCTTTAGGGTCTGTGCACTGAGTAGTGTAGGAACCTCCCTTTTTTTTTCTGTGCTGCAGACGTTTGAGTTCAGATAAGCCATTCTAGCAGATACTTCCCAATATTCATGAACCCTGGATGCTCCATCCCAAGCAAGCAGTCATTGGCATTGCTGGTGTATGGTGAGATCACTCACCCACTCTGTTAGTAAGGGACTAGTAAAAGTGTAGGGGACAAAGCCAAGAAGGCAAGCTAAGTGTCCCTAGGCCTTTAACATGTTCATTCAATTTATTATGCAGAAGTAGTTTTAAAAATCATCATTGCATTGTTCCTCAGATTAGGGAAGCACCAAAGCTGCAGGATGCCCAGTAGTAATCTTTCTCATGGCTGAATAAAACTTTGTGTTTACATGGCACTTTCTGGTGTGAAAAAGGCTCTATCATCCTTCTACTATCTAAGGGGTTTGATCCTTATATATTCAAAAACCAGTGGGTTTCAGTTCAAACTGGGCTGCTGATAAAAAAAGTAAATGTGGCCAAATGCCACAAGTAAAATAAATGTGGCCAAGTAAACATTGCACACACAAGCACACTCACAGATATATGGGAAATGTACATGCAAATAGTGTATCTGAGGCATATGTATGCTTAAATAGTGGCTCTGTGTGCCCTGAATACTGTACACTTGAATGAACTTTCCCTCAGAGCAAAAGTGTAGTTTTCCATCTTGTACTCATAATTTTTTCCCCATAAAAATATTTTAATGATTTAAGTCCCACAAGCCCAAGAGCTCCAGATGCATATTTTAGTTGTTTGTCATAAGAACTATCCAACATAAAAAATGACCACCCTTTCAGCCAGAATGAGTTTGCACAATGTTAAAGTGAAGAGGAAGAGTTTTCCACTGTAGTGAAATAAGTCCTTGTAAAAGTGCCATTTGTGAAACTTTAAAACCAGCAGTGGAAAAATAAGAATTTTTTTGCCATCTGAAATTCTTTAAAAGGAAATATGTCTCTAGAAGGTAAACTCTTGTTCCTATCAAAGACAGCAATTGATTTCAGTGCTGCTTAAGTTTTAGAGATACATCTTTTAGCTTCTTCACATTTTGGGTTTTTGGAGTCTTGATTTATCACCATCCTACTCTTTTGGGAAGAACTATGTACCTACCATATTAACCACACTCTCCAGCAAGGGTGAATAAATAAAAGCCACAGATGTTTTTCCTAAGCCATCCTAATAGATGAGTGAAAAAAAGTACTGATTTTCCAGGGGGCCACACAACACACTGCTCACCTTGATTGTTGCTGAATCAAGGTAAGGCATGGATCTCTCTATCAGGCTTCCTATTTCTTCTACTGGGTGCAATCACCCACTTTGTTGAGGCCTGGACTTGGATGCAACAGAGAGACCCAACAGAATTCCATGGATGGATGGAAATGGATGCATGTTTCACTGCAAACTGGATTTGCAATGATTTCAGGAGGAAAAATTTACTGTCATCTCCTGAGAAGCAGGATTTGGATGTAACTCTTAGGAACTTTTCTTCCAAACACACCTATCTCTATCTCTTGGTGAAAAGTGATTGCAGGGCCACATGCCAGAGGGAGCAGACTGCTTCAAGTCAGATGTGGTTAATGGAACATCCACTTCTCATCTCTATATAAGACAGTGTCACCCATTCCCCAATTCTTTTTCAAACTGCTGATTTTTCACTCTGGGTTAATGATTTTCCCATAAGCAATACTCTTTGTTTCTGGAATTACTTGAGTGATGCCCACTTAATTGCCCTCTGCCCTTTTCACCTTGGGGTGGACTCAGACATGGAGAGTGATTTACCTAAAAGGGAAAGTTCTTGCAGTCTTCAGTTAAATATTTACTTATGCCTTTTTTGGTGTGCCTCGTCCTTGGTACTCCCAAATCCTCTGAGACATCAGTATGAATTCCCACTGACTCTACAGACACTCCCCTCCTCAAGGAGGGTTACTCAATACTGTTGAGGAGACATTTTCTGCTACTTAACTTGACTGCAAATATTTTTGTATTTGTGTTACTAAGGTCAACAGAGAGCTTGTGGACAATTTCCTTCTGTTCTTAGAAAAGTATGTGCAAGTGTGGTTAGGATGTAGACGTTTCAAACTGGGTTCAGAGTGGACTGCAGGACCAGGCTGAGGAGTCTTGTGGCACTCAAAGAGGTGTTCCCTGCCCCTGTGAAATACCTGTGTGCTGCCAGTTTGAACAGTGCTGTTCAGGGTGGCAGCTGGCTGAGGCAATCCAAACCCTGCAATTTGGATACTCGTGTAAAAGCACCTCAGGTTAGAAGATTTCTGTGTTTGTCTTGAAGATGACTTATCAGATTTAAGGCAAGCTGATTTGAACAAGCCTTGAACAAGCCCACAGGGATGGGAGGTATTTGGGAGGGACAGTGCTAAACCTTCTTTGTACATGTTTAATCTTGGATTGCTGATAATGTTTGAAAAGTGTGTCAAAACCCTCATTGCACAGCATGTACCTTGACACAGCACCAAGTCCTTGG